CTCACACACACACACTTGAACTAAAAAGCCAAGCCATGTGTGGCTTGCAGGAAAACTGTCCCAAATTTGTATTTATTGGTAAGTAAATGAGGCAGTATCTCAAGACAGCTTCACCAGGAGAAGCAGGACTGGCAGCTCCTGGGAAAACCAACTGCACTGCATCCATTTATCACAAATATCTAACTATCACTCTGCAGATATCACGCTGTAAATATCACTCTGGAGGTCACAAGGTTTTTGAGCAGATCCTTCCAGTGATCTTTTTGAGCAGCTCCTTAGCACAGGCTCCTCGTGGCTGGGGAAGTAATGCCAAGGGAAGAAGCCATGCCTTGGCTCCTCCCACCAACCAGAGCAAGGTGAAAGACAGCCACAGGGAAGAACTACAAATGATAAGAGCTGCCCCAAAAGCAAACTGCCCTGCAAATGAAGGGTCATCAGAAAAAGACCTGTGCAGCCCCATGTACTGTGTAAGGCTGCTAAACCCAGCTGTGTGACAGCAGAACAGAATTTTATTCCAGGGTTTTTTTTTTTTTGAAGCACCACCATGACTGACACAAATGCTGAAGCTGGAAGAAGGCCAACAATTAATCAGGATTCCTTAGAATTTGGAGGTAATTTTAGCAGAACAAGAAATGCAGAAGTATCAGCGAGTCTTGAACATTCCTCCAGGACAAAAATCTATTACTTCATATAAGTCCATTAAAACACTTCATCTAGCCCCTTTAATCCCTCTTAACAGATTTGCTTTATCACAGACAGAGGAGCTAATCCTCTCCCACCTGTCTTTATGATATGGAACCATAAATAAGAGCAAGTACTTCTCATTTGTTAGGCATTATCCCCCCTTGGATAACGCCCTCACCCACACCCCAGCATTGGTGTACTGGAGCAGAATTTATAGCTTGCTGGACTTCTCTTCTCCTTCAACCCAGACCTTACACGTCCGAGGCCTTCACTGTTGGAAGCAGATGGCAGCCTCAGCCAAATGCATCACCCATGCAACTGGGTCAGTAGGTCAGCTGAACTTACTGCCTAATTACACCATCATTTTACACAGAGTTCTCTTGGCTTCTCAAAACAGGATCTCAGAAATATCAGGGAAAAAAAGTAATTGTTATGAGCTACACTGCAATAGGCTCTGACACTCTGCAAACATGGAGGAGTAACCTCAAACAGCCTGCTGATAAATTTGGAGTTTAAGTACTGAAATGTGCACTTCAGTGCCCTAACTGCTGGAAACCCCCTCAGCAACCCCCCCTTCCAACAGAACACAGCATCCTTGGATGGCCATTCCACTGTGGAAAGTAGAACAGACACAGTGGCTGACCACTTGGGGCATATCTAAAGTAACCTGTGCTGCTTCAGGCTGTGGAGGCTTCACAGCTTCACTTCCTCCAGCCATCAGCTTGCTCCCTTCTCTTTCAGCTGGAAAAACATTCACGTGCTCTCACCCAACCCTGCATGGTTCTACACCACAAAACCCAACGGCCTGAACGAATCCCCAGTCACTTCCATGGCACAGTGGCCATGACCTTACATTCCAGAGGAGCCAGGAGCAAGCTCAGATAGATTTGTGTCACAGCTGAGACAGCCACACACACAGGGTACCACCATACAATTCCAGAAGGCTTTAAGCATTCACCCATCCACAGTAACACCTTACCTCATCAGAAGGCTTCTGATGTCTGCCCATACACAGTAAGACCCTGTCTCTTGAGAAGGCTGCAAGTATCTGCTCATTTTGCCCTTCAGCCCAGCCTTTTATCCCCTCCTGTTGATGCCCTGCACCTGTGTGCCCTCTGTTCCCATTGGTGATTGGTCAGTGCCCTGGGCACTCCTTACCTTCAATACCAGTCACCTGTCCTGCACAGCTGTAGCCAGTTAGGGGTGAGGCCTCAGCTGCAGCCCCACTCCCAATTACCACAAACTCTGTGCCCACATATTTATATGTTAAATGCAGAGCATACAGCATCTAACCAAGAGAAAAACACATTATTCTCATTTTTCTTACACTGTCTGCTCTACCTGGCAATGAGTAAACCATCCAAGATCTGCAAGGAACTGTTTTCTTCTCTTTGCTGTGTAGGTCCCAGTCAATTTTTTCTCCAGAGGTACTGCAACCTCAAGTTATTCCCAAAATCTGGTTAGTAAAGGCAGCATTAGCATGACTAACTAGAGCATAGCTGTTGTCTTAAAAAAGAGATCTGAAACAGTGTCACGACCTAGCTCCTGATGGAAGACATATTATTAAAGTAGGGAGAACACATGCATTCTTTGGGATTTCTTCTCTTCTGCTAGGAACCAACCCAAAACCCCCCGAGAAATCAGCCACCTGGCTGAAAAAAAAGAGACAGAGGTACAGAGGGCCACGTTTTCCTTGAGGAGGCACGAGCAGCACCCTTGGAGCACCGGCCCCGGGCGGGGAGCTGGCTGTGGTGCGGCAGAGGAGGCAGCTGGCTCCGTGTTCCCGGGTGTCAGCGCACGGTTACCCGTGGCCATCTCCGGCCAGCGCCGCACAAGGCCCCCATTGTGTCCCTGGGGCCGTCTGCAGCTGTCGCTCTTGGAGAGGCGCGGGGACAGCGAAGGAGCAGAGTCCCTGCTCCTCAGGAACATGCCTGCCTTTGCTTCCTCCCGGGAAATCTTGGAAAGCAGCATCCGTGTGCAGCCAGTGCTGCCCCCCAGGCTGTCACTTCTGTCACACAGAGGAGCAGCACCATAGGCACCTTGCAAAGCATTCCTAGATGTACTCAGGTGATGATTTCTCTTTGTACCTCTCAGGGGTCAGCTGTGCTGCTTAATAAAAAATCAGCTTCTCAGTCACCTCTGTTCCATCAGCTGGGATGGAATTAACTACAAAAAGCCGAGCTTATTCAAATCATCACCGTGCTGGGAGTCAGAGCAGCTTGAATATGGTAATTCAAAGCAGCAGGACTTCAAAAAAGAGCAAGATATGACACATTTGTCAAGTCACTGCTCTGTTCTGAAGTGGAGTTTCTCTAGAACCACTTACTCTGAACGCCATGTGAAATTGCATCCATTTAAAACTTTTAAAGTTCAGGAGAATTGTGATGTAACCTTGACCCACATGAGGAAAAGAATGAGGTCTCCCCATTCACACTTAATGAAAAGCTTTTTCTGTTGAATGTGTGTTAAATGGCCACAAGTAGCTGTGACACTTAGGTCACCCTTAAGAGCCTTTAATTTAAAGACAGAAGACTCAGTTGACATTGGAAAACGTATGGGAAAAGAACCAAATAAGTCATAGACATAGGCCCAAACACACACACATTCCCAGATTTCAAAGCTACCAAACTACAGCAACACAATCACTATTTTTCATCCTGGCTCCAAGCTTTTTATTTAGAATCGAGATGGGGAAGATTAATTTCTTCAGCTGCTGCACAATTTAACCAGCCAGGAAGTTCTATATAGGAAAATTTTAAATGGCTTTGCATGTTGATGTGGTATTCCTTAAAAAAAAACAACAAAACAAACCAAACACCAAAAAAGAAACCAACTTGGAAGTTGTGGTTTCCTCCTCCACAAATGTATTTCCAAATGCTTTGGTAAATAAATAGAGCCTCCATTTCTTGGCACTGTTAAGCACAACACAGATTCAATTGTATTAAACATCCCTTATTTGATATATAGTTGGCTTAAACTTAAAATTAGGTAAACTAAACTAGAGCAAAGACTAGTGGCTTTGAAGTATCAATAGGAGGTTATTTGCCACCTGACAGACCTGCAGGAGGAGGAAGAGCCCAGCAATACACACAGGTAGCTCACAACCTGTCATTGTAACAAAAGAACTCCAGAGGCATTTTCATTAATTAATATATTTTCTGCATTATAGTTAACATATGTACTTTCTTTGTGTCATCCTTATTTCGTTAAGTATTGATATTTTGTTATATTCAGACATGAGTACATTTTCGAAGTCTTTTGCAATAAATATCATAAAATAATAGAGATTCACATAATAAATATTCTTTACAATAAAAAAAGTTTTAACAGACTTTTGTCTTAAAAATAGTTGGGATTCAACTTTGTGTTTTATACATAAAATATACAAAAAAGGACCACAATTTGTGGCTAAGGCAATAAAACAGGGACAGAATAAAATTATAAAGTACAGAGCAGAGCTAAACTCACTAAGCCAAAGAATCACAAGAGACTTGAAGGATTCAAGAACATTTAGGTGACTCAATGACACCTGAAGGCTGTTTGGATATATGAACACCACCAACTTTAATATGAACTGATACTGACAGACTATAAAAACTGGATTAGGAGGGTGGAGTAGGCAATATCCTTCAAAGACTGGACAGCAGAAGAAACAAATGAGTATGTTGCAGCCACAATGTCTCCAATGTGAAGATCTACATAGTGTAGCAAAAACTGAAGTTACACTGAAAATGTAAAAAAAAAAAAAAAAAGAAAAAAAAAAGGCTGGGCAATTCTCAGGTCTGAGAATGTTCCAAAAGTTAAGAGAAAAAGAGAGAGGGGAAAAAAAAATGCAAAAAGAAGCAGGCTGCTTATAGAAGAGTCAGGCCTTTGATTTGGTGAAGCCTTTATTTTACATCCCTCTCCAGAAAGAACACACACAAAAAGTTATTTCACAATCCAGCTCACTCAGGAAAGTTATTCTTCCTTGGCACCCAGGAGGTTAAGGAGAAAAAAACCATAACTTGCTGAGAACAAAAAAAAAAAAACCATCTTTGGGAAGATATTCACAGAGCAAGAAGCTTCAAGAGCCCAGTGAGCCCTCACTGTCTCTTTCAGGAGTGGTTCAGTTACAAACTCAAAGACCCTGCCCGAAGGAGTGGCAGGTGCAGATCCCAGGTCCACACTTACCAAAGAGCAGCAGTGACTGCGTGAAATGCTCCACACTCAGCCAAGTCAGCAGGAGAAGGAGAGCAAAGATGCAAGGGGAAGAGCTCATGTGTCTGGAAAGGAAAGGAAAGCAACAGTCCTCCCAAAATGGGAGAGGAGGGGGGAAGAAGAAAAGATGGGGAGAGGGGAAAAAAAAAATCAGCTACAACCTGAAAAACTGAAGTTGGAGGAAGTAAACCTCCCTCCCAAAATCATGAGGGCTTGCCCTGACCCCGGGAGGGGCAGCTCTCCAGTTTACAATAGACCGTGTTGGAGTTCTTGCACCGGCAGCCCGGACGATTGACGCGGTCATAGCACCCCCGGCAGAGTTTTAGGCATCCTTTGGCCGGAGGGTAGCAGAGCAAGCAAGGCAGGAACAAGGACATGGCTCCCATGCACAGGTACCTAGAACAGCAGTGTGCCTGGGAGCAGGAGCAGGGATTATCCGCGTACGAGTCCCCTTCATCGTCGTTGGAACAGTGGTAGAAGATGCCTTTGACCAGGCACATGCAGGTGCCGTACTCCACCATGCTCTCGGCCGAGCACAGGCACTGCCGGTTGCAGGCCAGGCAGGAGGGCAGGGCCCGCGGCGCCGTGCACTCCCCGCACTTGCACTTCCCGCACCGCTCGCAGATGAACTTGTGCTGCGTCAAGTCCTCTTTCAGAGGCCCCTTCAGATCGTCCACGATCAGCGCCGACTGCTTGGGCTGCGCCCGGATCGTCCGCTCGGATCTGTGGCCGGAGCCCGGCCGGGAGGGCGGCGAGCGCCCCAGCAGCCCTTGCTCCGAGGAGGCGCTGCTGTTGCTGCCGGAGCTGGCCGCGCTGCCCGTGCTGGTGGAGCGGCTCAGCACGGGAGCCCTGGCGCTCTGCTGATGGGCCGCGTGCCCCGCCTGGCCGGGCCTGTGCTCGTAGTTGTTATTCACATTAATCGGTATAATCTCGTGAGTCCTCTCATGCTTCTCCTGCCTCGGCGCCGTCCGTGGAGCCGGCTTCTTCACCACCGACGGCCCCTCGGTGTATTCGTTACTGCCCCTGATGGCCTTGATCTGGTCCAGTGACAAGATGGTGGCGGGCTGGCCGTCCCTGTCATAGTCCAAGCGCTGCCGGCTGTCCAGGGAGGGCTGCTGAATCACCACCAGGGAGCCGCCGCTGCCGTGCTGACTTTGGGGCTCCATCTGTAGTGATCTCTGCTGCTGGCATTCAGCGGGAACCTGGCATGCATCTGAGATCCTGAAATAAGGAAGGAGACAGAAGGTGTAAATAAACACTGCGTGTGTACATATACACACGTGAGATCAAGGGCAGCGGAGGGATAAAGCACCGGATACTTTCTGAAAACAGAAATGATCTGGCAAAGCCCAAACTGCCCCAGCCACCTGGTACTGATCACTTCTAGCAGGGAATTACAGCAGTGCTGAGGATCTGGCCAAAGTCCAGTAATGGGGAGAGTGGGTATGGCATCATGGATCAGGAATGCAAAGGAGACCCCATACCATTTAAAAAAAAATTTAAAAAATAAAAATCCAGTATTAACTTGTATGCTTTCTTGGCAAGCCATGGGAAGTGCCTCTCCCTTGCTACTGAACTCAACATCTGTCTCTAGCAACAGCCATTCCGAATGCCCCTGACACTGAGCTGGAAACAGCCAAGAACACCACTACGGTCATGTTCCCTATGGCAGAGTGAGGAACGAGCCCAGTTCTCACTCTTCTCCCTGAATGTGCAGCATCAGAAAGCTCCACAGATTTGCTTCCTAGTGCATTTGGAAAGTCTCCCTCTTAAAGTGACGTATGTGCATTACAGAGTCCTGAACTAAGTGCTGTCAAGTGGCCAAGACATTTTCTGTGAGAAAGTAACTCAGCCTACACATCTAATATGCTCCTTTATAAAATTAAAGCAAGGGTGCAAACAACCTGTTTTCAAATATTTCCTGACCACAGGCCGGAGTGTGAAAGAAAAATGGGGTAGAAAAGGCTTAGATGAACTAGGTGTCAAACAAAAAGTACCTGAGCATTCATGGGAACGTTAAGAGCAGATAAAAACCCCTCAACAAGAACCTCAAAACACAAAGAACAAATCCATTTTCAAAAGAGAGATTGAAAGCTTCTCAAATAAACAGAACATCTGCTCGTCTATCTTTTAAATAGCAGGAGAATAGTAGAGATGTTACACGTTTCCATCCCTTTCCATCCTGCCTAGTGAGAGACATGAAGGTTGCAACACTGAGGAAACTGCAGTGACAGTTCTGCACCTACACAAAAATGTAGCTGAGTATTTAAGTGCCACATTTATGCAGGGAGCCAAGACAACAAACTGCTTTTCTTTACTGTCAGCCAGAGGAGAAGTCCCTTTTCACACTCCCCCCGGGATGTGTTTACCTGAAAGCAGAGAAAGGTGAGTGCTATCACGCATTTCAAAACCTCATCCAATAATGCTATGAGAGTGTCTTGCGTACCCAGACCACAGCCAGCATGGAGCTGTTCCCCACTCCAGAAAGCAAAAGGCACCGTGGTGTGGAAGCACAGGAAGAACAAGAAGAGGAAATGTTTCTTCTAGCAGGCAGTCACCATGGGCAGAAAGTGACAGCGTCTGCCGTGACACAACATCTTTGTCCTCATGCAGTAGTCAAAGATTTCATTTTACATCTAACATCACCTGTGTGGGCTTTGTGGTCACCAGATTAAACAGAAAACCAAACACTCTCGCTTCTAATTCACAGAACAGAATCACAGGATGGCTTGGTTGGAAGGGACCTAAAAGACTCTGCAGAGTCCCAAAGCCCCTGGCCGCGGGCAGGGACACTTTCCACTAGACCAGGTGGCTCAGAGCTCCATCCGACCTGGCCTTGGGCACTTCCAGGGACGGGGCATTCACAGTTTTTTCCTGGGCCAGTGCCTCACCACCCTCCAGCAAAGAATTTCCTCCTACCCCACACAAGAAGCAGCCTTCCTCACGAGCACTGAATACAAATCCACAACAGACCAAGGGTGAATGAATGCGAAAAGGGAAAGATTTACAGCTGTACCAGCCAGGAGCTGGGCTCCCTAGGGGATGAAAAACAATATCCCAAGAAAATGCGAAAGACATCCAGTGCCATCTTTGGGGGGAAAGTGCAACATCAACGCGGCGCAGACTGACAAGCCCAGCTGCAGACCGGGGCGAGAGTTGAACCAGCCACCTCCACCCCCGCGCAGATCGCTCGTAAACTGCTTCCCCCCCGGACAATGAAATAAAAACGAGTAAAACAAAATAATAAAATAACGTACGGCGCAGGCGGCGAGAGCCCTCACGGTTCTGCACCCGGGGCTGCGCTCCCTCCCCGCACCTCGGGGGTGGGATCCCGCTTCCCTCCCCTTCTCCACACCCGCTCGGACACGCCGCCAGCCCCCCCCGTCCCGCCCTGCTCCGCCCCACTCCCCGCAGCCCCGGGCGGGCGGCGGCGGCGCGGCGCCCTCTGCGCCCCGAGCGGAGCGGATCACGGCGCTGACGGAGAGGAAGGAAGAGGAGGGGAAAAGGGGAAGAAAAAAAAAGTTATGAATGAAAACACAGGCTTTTTTTTTTTTCCCTTTCCTTTCCCTCCTTCTCTCTCTCTTCCTCAGGGGAAGGCAGATCTTAGCCCGTCCCTGCCTCGGGAGGGCAGATTACCTGGCGCTTAAAGCGGCAGCCGAGCGGCCGCTCAGCCCCGGGGTTTCCCCGCGCTGCGGCTCGGCACCCCCGCCTCAGCCCCTCCGGCCCCCACCTGCGAGGAGGGCTTGGGGGTGTTTTTGACGTTCTGCTCGTTCGCAGCCGGACACAGTCCCTAGCGAGCCTTCCCGCAGCAGCCCGGTGCCTCCATTCCGGGAGGGGGACGCTGCGAAGGTGGTCGGGGCTGCCCCTCACCGGGCGGGCGCCGCAGCGCCCCGCGGCACCTGCTGGCTGCGGCAGCGCCGGCCCCGCTGTGAGCGCACGGCGGGCCCCAACTTACTGATGTGCAGGGAGCCACCGGGAACGGCAAATCCAGCGGGCGGGGGGCGGCGGGGCCTCGGCTCCTCGCTCTCCCGGCCCCCGGGGCGGGGAACGCCGGCGGGCTGCGCTCCTCGTCCCCGCACAGCCCTCGCTCGCCGATCTCCAGGTCCTACTGGGCCAGCGGAGAAAAGCCCCGCTCTCCTGCCCACCGCAGCTCCCCTCTCCCGGGGGTCAGCATGCAGCGGCCCCGGCCGCCCGTGGAAGCGGCGCTCTCCTTCGGCCGCAGCTCTCTCGGTCCGGAGGCGACGGGGAGCAAATCCAGCCCTTCCTCCAAAGCGGAGTGTTTGGATCGAGCCTCAGGCGGCTGCAGGCTGCGGCAGGCAGCGGGGCTTGTTGCGATGCAGGTCTCCGGGAAGAGGCGGCGGGTGCGCGGCTCCTGCTCCGGCTGTTTGTTATTTCCCTTTGCGATCGCAGAGTGCAGCGCTGCGGTCCCGCTCCGGCGCTCGGCTTCACCGCATGGTCCTTGCCGCAAGTCCCGTCTGGCAAAGTGCAACCACAACCTCTGGTGCGAAAGACTGGGTTGGGTTTTTTCTTTTTTGTTTTGATTTTTAATTTGCTTTTTAAAGCGATCAAGAAGCGGCTCTGGCTCTCCAGGCAGAGCTCAGCGAACTGCGAACGAAGCCAGAGGCAGCGCAATGCAATGGCCCTGCGAGCTCCCCGCACAGAGCCATGTGCTGGCTGTCGCTGCCGGGGGCCGAATGACAGGCTCGGGGCAGGGGCAGGACGCGGCGGGGAGAGGCGACCCCGCACGCCGCAGTCTGGCACCGAGGTCTCCGCAGGCTCGAGAGGGTCGCGCAAAGCTCCGACGCGCCGGAGACCCCGCACCGGGCGGGACGGGGGAGCACCGAGCCGGAGCTTCTCTGCGAGCAGCGAATCGCGCCCGGCTCAGCGCTGCCGGCCCGGGGAGCCGAGCCCCGGCTCTCCCGCCCGGTGCCCCGCGGAGCAGCGAGCGCGGCTCGCCCGCACCTCCCGCACGCCTCGCAGCGCGGCCGCCCCCAGCGCGGCGCGGGGAGCCCCGGCCGCCCGCCCGCACCTGACCCGGCGGGAGGTGGGTGCGCGGCACGGCGAGCGCCGCCCGGGCTTACCTAGGGCCGGGGTGAGCGCCCGCCTCCCGCGGCACATTGGCGGCGCGGATCCAGCCCGGGCAGTGCCGGCAGCCGCTCCGCGCTGCCCCGCCGCCGTTCCGGAGTGACTCGGGCCGCGCCTCGCCGCCTTTCAGCGCGCAGCCCCCGCCCGCCGCCGGCCGCGCCCCCCTGATGTCAGTGTGCCTCCGAAATCCCGGCGTGGATTCCCCGCCCTCCCGCCGGGAGCCGCTCCCGCGCGGGCACCACCGCTCCCGCGGGCCGCCGGGGAAGGAAGGAAGGAAGGAGGGAGGGAATGAAGGAGGGAAGGAGGGAGGACCTGCCCCTCTCCGGCCCCGGCCCCGCGCTGTCCTGCAGCCGCGGCTCCTCCCGGCCCCGAGGCCCCGCCGGCAGAGGGAGCGCCCCGGGGGCTCGGCCCGGCGCAGCTCGGAGCTGCGGTCCGCACACGCTGCCCCCGCCTGCGCTCATGGAGCTGCCGCGGCACCGCCGGGCACTGGGCTCTGCTGGAAGGGCTGAAGTTCTGCTCCTCTGACAGCGTTACAGAGAGATTCCTGACTGTGTTTTACCGTCAGCGCCCTTCAAGCCAGGTGGAACAGCCCTTCGTTCACATTCACAAGATATTTTCTGCTTCTTTCAGACTATTGCAGAGGTAGCTGAGGACCCGAGAAGAGCATTCCCTCTTGTCATCCTGCCATAAGATAGGAAGCGGCTCTTCCCATCGTTTTACAGCTGACACTGCAGCACCAGAGACGATACGGGTTATCGACCCGGCTGTCTCTCTCCCGCCTTTCCAGCCCTGCCTCGGCAAGGTCCCATGCAAAGCTCCCCACTGCATCTCTGCCATGGTGCCAAAGAGATACAGGGATGCTTTTAAAGCCAGTAGTTTTATGGCCAGATATTACCTTTTACATATGATTTTTGGGGGTTTGGTTTGGTTTTTCTCATTGAGTGAAGTATTTAAACAGGCCACCAAAAGAACATGGGAAAGTGATGTAAAGCACATCCAAATTCTGAGAATTATTTCATAACAACATGTAAAGTATTGGAATAGTTGAGACTTCCAGTACTTGGCTAAACACCACTCAGCCTTAAGTTTATCTGAAACACACTAGCAATCTCTTTCAGAAAAAAATACCATTCTCCCATCTTTTGCCCCAAATAAAAGAAGTATGTGCTAAGGATATGTGGAGCTGCTTAGCAGGAACATACATCCAAAAGCAAACAATCCCTACAAACAGGATTGTACCACAAAGGGGGAACTCAGTGACAGTCTGTGCACCCAGCTCACACTCGTGGATATAGCACAGTTGTTTTCCATTAAACTTCCTTAAGTTTGGAAAGAAATCACCTGAACTGCATTTTTGAAATTTCCATTATTATGCACAACCTTTACCTGAATCACCTATCTCTCTATGAAATAAAATTTGCATGCATTAGAGGTTCTATACTGAATATAGTACTAGTGGTAGTATGACTCCTAATACTTCTGAGTTTGTAATTAACAGATTGCTGATACAGACAAACCATAAATACCATTCTCCAATGACAGAAGCTCAAAGGACAAACAATGGCATAAAAATCCTTGGTGTGGAATGAAAGTACACCAAATCAGTATTAATATTGCTGTGGGATTTAGAAAGCGTGGTTGTTCACCAAAAGCATTCTCAGGCACACGTTGAGCACAAAAGTACAAAATCATTTTCAGTGAAATCCACCTGAAAACTTTGGAACCTATAAAGAGTTACAAAAACCTGTCAAGAGAAAAAAATATCCAACTGAAGAACAAAAGTGACTAAGAAAATTTAAAAAAACCCACTACTCCTGCAGAGTAGTCTTAGTGGTGTGAGTTCATCTTGGAGCCTTTGGAAGTAGCAGGGCTCTGTTCTCACAAAAGTTCATATACATTTTTCCTAGGATACAACCCTAAAAATACCTCAACACCTCTCCTTTCACATCTCTAAAGCCAGGACCACCTTAAAAAAAAATCTATGCCAAGTGTAAGAGCTTGATTTTAGAAACATAATACCAGGCTTAAATGGGTCAGTCAAATAACTAAGAGTACTGGCAGGTGTTCACTATCACCTGGCACCTGAATTAATACTTCACTGAAAGAAGGAAAAACCCTCCAGCGATATCCAAAGGCTCTCCACAGGCTCAAGCAAACATTCCTGCGCCTCACACAAGTCCATCTCACTAGATTATTCCTGGAAATTATAGCAGTGAGAAGTTCTGATTAGAAAAAGGAGAGCTACATTCTGGAGAATGAACTGGCACCTATGGCTGTATCCTAGCACGGCCTTAATTTGAGGATTGATGCTCAGGCAGGAATCTGATGCAACCAAGTTATTTTCTATCCCCAAACCATCATCTAGAGGTGGCTCAGCTGACACCAAGTCAATAGAGACCAGCCCTCTATGCCCAAAGGAAATCCTTCAGGAAAACCTGCCAGAATGGGGTTCAAGAGACTGAATGATGGCCAAGAGCAATGATCCAACCCCTGTTTCAACTTTCACTTTGAGCATCAGGTACTGGAGATAATCCCCACCCTCTGCAGTCAGATGCTACTTCTCCCTCATGGCAGCCCAAGTGCCAGAAGATGCAATGGACAGAACAAAAGCACAATCCATGCTTAGCTTTATGTTTGGTTTTCTTCCTAATCCACACCTAGAAGCAACTTTTATCTTTAGGCAACTTAAGTGACCTTTGTAAAGATGCACTGGATAAACTGTGATCCTCCCACCATCAGTAACAGCTATTTCCATGGGTCCCACCTGGAAATATTATTCTATTTCTCCCTAAGCAGCATCTCTTAGCCTTGCTAAGGCACAAATCCCAGTCCAGAAGGAAGACACACACACTCAGCCCCAGTCACAAAGCCAACACGGCTTTGAGGAGACTCGGCAGGGGAAGTGCTTCCCTTTATGCATGTTACTTGTCACTTCATAACCAGTCTTCACAGCTGCAACAACATTTCTAAGGTTACAGAGAAATTCAAAGGCAACTAAACACCCCCCTCCATTAGCATTTATAACAAAATTATGAACCAAATTGTTGTGCCAGTCTTACCTGTAGCATGTGTAGCTCAGGTCCTTCCCTCACCAGTGATGATCTTGCAGAGGTGGCATCAGAAGAACCGACTGGAACCTGCAGCTCCCCAAAGCTTTGTGTGTCAGCAACTTTGAGTTTGTGTCAGGTGGAACTTTGTAGTTGTCAGTGCTTGAACGTCTCAGAAACTCTGAATGCTTGTTGGGACAAGACCAGCATAACTAATTTTTTAACACACCACTAGGCCTATATATACTACAAGGCAAGAGGAAATGGCCTCAAGTTGCACCAGTGGAGATTTAGATTGGGGAGCAGGAAAAAATTCTTCACTGAAGGCACTGGAACAGGCTGCTCAGGGAGCTGGCTGAGTCACCAGCCCTGGAGGGATTTAAAAGTTGTATAGATGTGGCACTTAGGGACTGGTCTACTGGTGACACTGAGTTGATGGCTGGACTCAATGACCTTAAAGATTTTTTTCCAACCTAAATGATTCCATGATTTAAAAACTCTCCAACAAACCAACAACAGGCTATGGAACACTGCTGTAATAACAAGTGCTGTGGGCAGTTTCTCAGCAGCTCTCATGAAATCTTGCTGGCCCTGGCTTAAGCTGGTGCATGAGATAAACAGAGCTGCTCCCGAGAGCCAAACACCATGAGTGCTGTGGTGAAGGCATACCCTGACACGTACAGTGAATCACTTCAGCATAAGGAAGAGAAAGCGAAGGCTGATGTGGCAGCGTTTCCCATCACACTTTCTACCAGACAGGTTGACCTTTATCTGAGATCAAAGGCACGGGTGGCTGGGGATTTCTTCAGCTCCTGTGTAGGGGCTGTTCTCAAAGCTCTCTGAAGACGCGCAGCCCGTGCGCCGCTGCCTCTTGCCGTCACCGCTCGGGCTGGGGAAAGGCACACAGGAAATCCTCAGTTACAAATAGAACCTGTAGTTTTCACTTCAGGAGATAACATCAGTTTTTCTTAGAGGCAGAGGAGACAGTGAAAGGCAGCAGCCAGGCAAACCTCCAAGAACAAAGGGACGAACCTCGACGTGAACCTGCCTCACGAACATTTGAATGTGGAATCAAAGCACCGGGGAAATGCTGCAGAGAGAGGGGTTTAGTGTGTGCCCAAATTAAACAGGAGGAAAATGCCAAAGTCTGTAAAATAGGCTGAGAGTCTGAGAACACACTTGCCCTTCCCCATCTCCTGCACTGTATCAAAGAAACCAGTAATTTTCCTTGGGTAACCACAGGCAAAACTTCACTCTCCTAAGGGTAGGCCACAGCAAGTCTCTTCATTTTCCACCACTCCTTTGACATAAAGGCAACTTGGTACCTCTACACCTCTTCTTCAGGTACCCATGGTTACTGCTGTCTGATCAAGTTTAATCTTCCTTGGAGAACTGCCTCTCTAGCCTTCATGTGTAGCTGCTACATGGGTTGCCTGCATATGCACAACATATTCTAAGCTACTGACCATATCTTCCTTACTTTGTATTAATTGTTAACTATTTTAGCTAATATGACTTCATCTTCATCTGTACAAACAGCTTTGTGAAAAAGTAAAATTGCCATTATTACTGAATACCAATAATAACTTACTCTCATCTACCATAAATTACCTGCAAATCCTTGCCTCCTGTCCTAGTGCTGAGCAAACTGCCTTTTCCATTGCACACAGACACAGACCTTTCCCATTTCTGCTGGAGAAGTGGTGTCTTCCCAGGAGTGGGCTGCTTCACTGGGGGAAGAGGAGAAGCTCTCTGCTGATTTAAATACATGGCTCTGTGCATGTTTTTATTATCTAAGCACTTGTGGCGACTGGGGTGTTAGCACAGCTCCAGGAATGCCTCCTGTTTATCAGGTTGTGCAATCTGTCACTGTCAGCTGAAGGAGGTCTCGGGAGCAGCGTTTCTAATTTGATTTGAAAATATACATGGAAACCTGAGCCTGCTTTTAGCAAGAATGATGGGGTTGGCCTAATGAACACAATCTCTCTTGTCGCTCTCGAGAACAGCGTGTCGACAACCAAAGTTTAGGTTCCCTCTGT